CCTGTCTCTAAAACTGGCCTTTTTAGCCCCGCCTCCTTTAATCGAACTTTCCTCTGATTGGCTAAACAAGAATTAAGCGACACGTTTCTCTGTCCACCTTTAACATGAGCATCCACCGCTGGAACAGGAGACACGAGACAAAAAATAAGGAAAATAAATACACGAACAGGATTAATGAGGTTTTTATGTCTTTTTTGTGCTTCGGCTGTTTGTGTCTTTGTTTTTCAGGTGTGTTACACTCAGGGGACGTACATCCAGGTCAGAGTTCACAGCGAGGTGTTCGACCCGCTGACCCGACAGCACAACACCACCAACATCTTCCACTTCACCTTCACTTCAGACCGCGACGTCCCCAACATCATGCCCAAGACTTATGGAGGTGAGCCGGTGCAGACAGGAAACAGTTAAAAAATAAATCTGATTTATATTCGTGTCAGTAAGTTCCTTTCAAAATAAATCAAATAAACTTCCACGTTCAGTGCTGAAAGAAATCAACTATTAAAAAGGTTGTTAGATGTTAATTTAGCTGCTGGTTGTTATGATCACGCGTTCGTTGATCGGCACTTCTCGCTTTGCCTCACTCTTTTCTACTGAGACGTTTACTGCGTCACGTTTTAAAAACTAGGAATAGTAGATGTTTTAGCAGAGTTTTCAGCTTTTTTTCAGGTTTCCATGACAACCTGTTGCAATTTTATTACTCACTGGGCGCAGCGTATGCTGGCAGGTTAATCTACAGGTGACCCATGATGTTAGCTCCTCACAGCCACTGAATAACAGCCGAACTTTAAAAACTGCACATAGAGTTAAAAATGCTGCAGAGTTTCACATCAGATGAAACACCTGCTCATCCTACGAGCAGGTGAAACTGCTTTCAGAGTAAACATGATGTTTATCCTCTGACTTCTGTATTCAAAGATCAAACTGAAAGGAAGGAGAACAGCTGTGTGTACTGATGTGGATGTTTTGTGCGTCTGACAGAGTCGATGCTGTACCTGGACGGAAAGAGACACTTTGACCAAACCGTGGCGTGCTGAGACGTCAAACTCACGACCTGCTGAAGCCTTTCAGCATCCAAATGCCGAGCTCCAAGTGTTTCAGTGTTGATGAGAATAATGAATGAATGTGGTTCTGACATGTTTTATATCACGGTTTCTGAATTTTGAACAGCCCACACAGGCTGTTTGAATCTTGTTGCTTCAGTCGATCTGGAGGTTTACAAATTGGTGTGTTTGTGCACTACAGCAGAAGATGCTTTTTCCCAACATGTTTCTCTATTTTATACTCTTATCATTTTTCCCAGTTGTACGAGTCAGTGTTACAGCCTCTCAACTGTAGAAAATGAGGTAAACAC